TTTTAAATTTTTTAAATTTTTCGGAGCCTCCGAAAATTTAAAAAATTTAAAAAATTTAAATCGGACTGTTCTCAGAGATCACCAGATTTCCAGATGATTTAAAAATTTAAAAAATTTAAAAAATTTAAAAAATATAAAAGATTGCGATTTAAATTTTTTAAATTTTTTAAATTTTTCGGAGCCTTGAAAAATTTAAAAAATTTAAAAAATATAAAAGATTTCGATTTATATGTTTTAAATTTCTTAAATTTTTTAAATTTTTTAGATTTTTAAATCATCTGGAAATCTGGTGATCTCTGAGAACAGTCCTACGATTTAAATTTTTTAAATTTTTTAAATTTTCGAAGGCTCCGAAAAATTTAAAAAAATTAAAAAATATAAAAGATTGCGATTTAAATTTTTTAAATTTTTCGGAGCCTTAAAAAATTTAAAAACTTTAAAAAATATAAAAGATTGCGATTTAAATGTTTAAATTTTCTAATTTTTTCGGAGCCTTGAAAAATTTAAAAAATTTAAAAAATATAGAAGATTGCGATTTAATTGTTTTAAATTTTTTAAATGTTTCAAGGCTCCGAAAATTTTTATTAAAAAAATTATATCGTAGGACTGTTCCTAGAGATCACCAGATTTCCAGATGATTTAAAAATCTAAAAAAAAATTAAAAAAAAATTAAAAAAATATAGAAATATAAAAGATTGCGATTTAATTTTAGAAATCTGAACATATCAGACGACAGCCCAATTTAAATATTTTATTTTTGATATAGTATATAATTATTAATCTATATATTTAATTATGTTAGCTTAAATTATCTCAAGGCAGACTGCGCGGCACATAGGGTATACTCTTCCCTCTTACGGGGGGGGCCCCCCTACATATGAAGTTTTCACGTGATGCGGCGATCCCGAGGATTCCAGCCCCTCACTTGCTAAAGCAAGGACAACTCCAGCTAGCTGGTGCTAGCTTTCGTGAAAACGATACTCTTCTTCTCCTTGGTGAAGTGAAGGAAATGGCCTGGCAGGCCTCCTAAAGACCATTCTTGTTATATCTTCGAAGTCTTTGACTTTGAGGGAAGGATGAGGCAAAAAGCAGCAGAACCTCGGAGACTAGAGTTGTAGAGGAAGGGACCGACACTTGCGGTTCTGAGGCAGGTCTCATCCTTGCTACTTTGGGAGTGGTATGTAGCCCCTTGAATCAACTTCGGTCGTGTCACATCCACAGATGAGAGAATGAAACTGCCCAGTGCCCCCCTGCCTTCGCCATCCATCCTCAGCCACAAGAGCCAGCGGGTAGGTGCGGGCCAGTGCTCTCTTCCCCACCACTTCGCGAGGCGTCTCGTGTTTTGGATTTTCTGAGGGGTTCTTCGGTGGGGTCCCCTGCTTGTTGACATCTGGGTTCATCTAGGTCAGGTTATATGGTATCTATAGGTCAGGTCCCACCACTTGCAAGGTTACACTCCTGAAACCATCATGGAAGTGGACGGCCGCTTGGATGACCATGAAATCCTCCAGAAAAAGGAGGAAAAAGGTGGTGAACTCCACTTCCATGATTGTTTCATGCACTGTGAGTCCAAGCTTCTGACCGCCCCTGACCCAACCATCTTCCAAGGCTCAACGCCTTTTCAATGACCACATCGAAGGAGCCGTCCGCGAACGCAGGCATGCGCCGCGCGTCCGCGCGCACCCAGCGAAGCTCTGGGAAGCGTTGCTGCTGCAGCTGGATGGCCTTCCTGGGACGACCAACGACCGCACCGAAGCTCCATGGAACCCTGGAAGTCAAAGACCATTTTTTCAATGGTTGATCTGGTGACTCGTAGTGTAAAATTCTTAGTGAAACAGCTCGGCTGTTCGGGATGACCCGGCTAAACCATGGTGGGGCCACAACTTCTAGGGTGGATCGTCCCCAAGTCAAGAAGCCAAGCTCCCTGGAGCAGCGTCCGGGAGCACCGCCAGAACGGCCGGTCTTTCCAACCCAAACTTCCACAGGATGAACCTTCCCTAGGGATCCAAGTACCTTCTCAGGAGGTGATTGGAGACACTAGTATGTAGGTTTTGAGGGTCCAAGTACCTTCTGAGGTTCGGTACGACTGGATCCCCAGGACTTAATTAGGGCGATCCTTCCAAAGTCGAACGCCTTGGCTTTGGTCCTTTGACATCCCGATTTCGGGCCTGGAAAGGCTTTCCAATCCCGGCATACACTCCTCCCGCCTGTGAACCCACCTGTTGCGCGATGCTTTTTTATATCCAAGCCGCTTGCTGTAATCCATCCCCACCACGTGTCGAAAGCCCTGCCGCGCCAGATCCGCGACCATGAAGCTGTTCCCACAGCCCACCACCAGGATGTCCTGAGCGGCTCATCCAGGATGTCCTAGTGCTCATAGGAAGTCAGAGGACATCCAACAAAGGTTGAAGGACCCTATAGACTATCCTCTGGGTCCCCCAGTAGGGTCCTATAAGGTCCTACAAACCTCAGTTGGATGTTTCTATTGCTTTGCGAACGTCGCACGGGGATGCGACAACAAAGAGAATGTGAATGAATTTGGCTGGGAGAAGGATACTCAAGGTGACAAGAGACCAATGCCGCATGACCTTCCAATTGGCCAGAACTTGAGGTCAGCAAATCCTTCCCTACCCAAGTTGCTCTCCTCCACCTGACTCACGACACAGAAAAAGGTTTGCCAAGAGGCGTCTGTCTTGCTGAACGCAGGGCCTGCCACATCCTTCTGGAATTCTTTCCACGGGCCATACCAGTCCTTGCCCGCCTTCGCGCGTGGATCGCCATAGGTCTTCTCCCAGTACCTGTAACGGTCCTCGCTGGACACACATTTGGCGGCAACGTCTCAACGTCAACTGAGTTGCTAGTCATCCACCACATGAGCGTGGGCGAATAAACCCTCCGAGGAGATGTCTTCCACCGCTCGACTCTAAAAGCTGGTCAAAAATAATCAAATGGAGCACAGTGACGCAAAAGGTGGCCCACTCTTTGCATGGGAACAAAACAGTCATCTCCTCTGCCAGCCAGGTGGTTGGAGAACTCCCGTGGTCTTGGGGTTCCCGTGGTCGCTCAGGGGAAGAGCTGGAGGCCCCAGCGACTTGGAGGCTTTGCTCTCTGCTAAGGACCACCAGCCAACCTGCCTGTCCCTTGATCAGTTGCTCCATCCGACACCATCAGCTTGTCCTGTTCAACTTTTTCACCACCAGCTTGTCCTAATGAAGACTCTTGATCAATAGACCCCCCGTTATTGAAGGGTTTGTTCAATCCACATGGGGGGGTGGTTGATCAAAAAAAGAGTCTACACTATTCACCACCAGCTGCCTCAGGCCTCCCGCTTTAACCGATCCCGATCCTTGGCTGTCATCTGAAGCTTGCCATCGCGCGCTTCGTCGTGAAAGGCATCCTGCTGCCCCAGCACGGCTGCGGAGATCCTGAGGGATGCACAGGACTGGGAGCAGCGGAGCGGTCTTCAGCCGGTGTTCAGCCTTGCTTTGAAAAGAGTTGCCTGTTCAAGAGCAACCACACACACACCCACAGGTGCAGGCCGACTTGGATACAGATGTTCTACCCAAACCTGAAGTACAAACCTCCTCACTACCATCCATTGCTCGATCCCTTGGTCTCTCCCCCTTCTTCCGCCAACACCCCCACTCACCAGGCGGCAGGAGGGCGCCGCAACGTGCCACCGAACGGAGGCCCATGCGCTCATCGGCTCATCGGCGCAGCATGAGGTGGACCGAAGTGAACCGTTCTCTTAGTCTCAGGAGCTCTAGAAATCCGAAAGGCCGGCGGAGTTCAACTCTGTCCAAAGGCATTGGGGGACCCACAGGATCGGTCTTGAGATGGTCAGGTGGGTGAACCCAAACGCCCCCCCACACGCTTGAGCCAGGTTTGGCTCAGCAGGCGGGGTTTGGTTCGTCCGTCCGTCCCAAAGCGACACAGTGAGGAGCATCTGGTCCACACATGTGCACACCGCGCCCCAGGACACTTCATGAACTGAACTGTTCTGCTCGTCAGGCACCCTCATCTCGCGAAAAACATGGGCTCTCGCATCGAAGCGCCTTCAGCTCCTGCTGCAACACCTCGTAGCGTTTCAGCACCGCTTCGGCCAACGACCTCAGATCAGTGGGAGAGAAAGCGGCCTGCGCAGCGGCCCCCGAAAGAGAAGGTCACAGGGAGCTCTGCAGCACGGCAGTGGTGAGGAGGTGGGGCATCCAGGCCTTCAGGCTCCGTAATTTCTTGTGGGACTAGCTAACTAGCTGGCCAGCAGCGCCGAGCGCCGCCTCCAAACGCCTGAGCCACCCGGCAGGCCGGCCTTCTCCGCCATGGCGGCATAGGCGGCGCGGAAGCCCTTCTTGCCTCTTGGGCGGCGGAGAGGGCGACGACGTGGGATCGAGCCATGACTCGACGAAGCGATTCATGACTTGATGAAATTCATACCATGTTGACCTTCTTTTTTTTCTGGGCTTCCTGGCCCACCATTCATTTAAGAGGCTGAATCATCCCGAAGCAACTAAGGATTTTGCACTACAAAAGCCAGGTCAACCATTGTTTACAGTAATGGTCGAACGGAAGTCTATGGTTTTGTCATGCCTGGTGCCCCAGTCCCAACCAGAAACAGCTAGTTACTAGTTGTTCCAATGTGGCAATTCAGATCCTTTACGTAAGAAATGGCTGGGACTGGGGAGACATCCATTTCTTTCTGGTTGAGACTGGGGTTCCAGGTGTTGATGCGTCCCGTTGAGGATGGTTGGGGAGGAAAAGAGGCAAGAACAAACTATATACCCTGGGAGTCAAAGACTATAAAAAGAATAGTCTTTAGGTGACACAAAGAGGAATGTCCTTTACTTTAGTCAATCAAAAATATAGTCTTTGGACTGACTTCTAGGGTATATATATATATTGTTGGCTCTCTGTGCATCTAGAGTGCACCTAGCTTTCTCCCCCTGACCATCCACAAAGGAAGTGTGCACTTGAGGTATTGATCAACCCTTTGGAGCCGGCCACCTTGCTCACAAACCTTGATGATTTGGTACTTGGCCGCCCCTCTCTCCAAGCCTAGCCGCGAAGCTGGCTTCCCGCCGGCCCGTCCCTTTCCCGCCGCCGCCCAAGCCGCCAGCCGCCCGCCCACCTAGGTGCGTCAGGGGCCCCGGATGGAACTCCACGCTCGGGGCGCTGGAGTCGGAACCGCCCCCGCCCCGTGCGCCGAGGAGGACGCCCATGCCTCGGATCGGGCACGTGGCTTTCAGAAGGGAAAACCTGGGTGGAATGGCCCCGACTCAGACGACTTGGGACGGCGAAGGCGTGCCAAAGAGAGACGGAAACCCTGGACTTCCGTTCGGCCATTCCGAAAAAATCCCTGGGAGTCCAAGACCATTTCTAAAACGGTCTTTAGGTGATCCGAAAAGGAACTTCCTTTATTTGGGTGGGTGCCGAAAATAGTCTTTGGACTTCTATGGAAATGGTTCACCTGGCTTTTGTCGTGTAACATCCTTAGTTGCTTCGGGATGATCCGCCTTTTTCGACGGTGGTTGAAAGGTCAAACGGGGGGAAAGATGCGCAAACGTACCCAGACCGACATATCCATCGATGCCTGGGGTGAAACATCCAACTTAACCGAAGGAGTGGTCGACGAAACGAAGCCAAAGCCGCCAAGGCACAAGTGATATTGTCCTTTGAATCCTTAGCTCTGGCACCTCCCATCCAATCACAACAGTGGGCTGCTTAAAGAACCACTGAAAAAATGCGAAAAATGCATTGCAAACGTGAAGTCTTTTGAAGAACCCCATTATAGACTATCCCAGTCTGGTACCCAAGGTTTTCCGGGTCCTACTTACGGTCACTTAACCTACCTCTCTTGCTCTGGCACTGTTTGCCCCTTCCCTCTTTGGGTTTCGAAGAGTGAATGCTTCAAGCGGCGGTCTCCACGGCTTTGTGGCACACCGCTTTGACGGCTTCCCCCATGTCCTTGCCATCCCTCAGCCTGGGGAGAAACAATAGACAAGGGCGGCAGAGAGAGTTGAAGAAGGGGAGTTGATGACCTGACAGGATGCCTTCACTCCAAATCCCCCCCCTCTTGGAATTCTCACTGGATGGACAAGCACATCGAAGTCCGCTGCATCGAAGTCACTGCCCACACATCTTCCGGGTCGAGGGCTGAGGGTTTCAGTTGCAGAATCAGATCATTAAAAAAGAACACGACATTGCATGACGATTCACACCAGGAACCTGGAAAAAATGGTTGCTTAAGAAATCTGGCTCAAACCCCTGAAGAATCCGCAGATTGTCATTCCATGTCATTATGTCATTGCACCATATGACGCATGAGTTACATTGACATGAGGTTTTACACTCCCTGCAACTCACATGGAAGTGGGAAACCCCCTCACCCACTTCAACGGCTTCACATTCCGGCGAGCCCCATAGCTATCCATGTTCGCCCCAGCGAGGTCTTTGACCAGGACCTGCACCGTCCGTCCTTTAGACCCTTGGGTCCCGTTGGTGCACCGGCCCCAATGGTCTTTGCTAAGGATGTTCCACTGCGAAACCAGGTCCTTCCCACTTGCCAAGGGCTGGTTGACACTCCTCATTACCTCTAAGGGCCTATTCATAGACATAGACACCCCCCTTTTTAGGAGGGGGTCCTTGGCCTGGTTTTGGGTGGAAGGGCTTCTAAGGAGTTCGGCGGACGGAACCGTCGAAACATAACGTCCGCCGAGGGCACATGGATGCCACGAGCTTCACCACCTCGGCATTGGGAAAGTTTCCTTCCGACACGCCTCGGCCGAAGGCTCAGATCGCCCAGAGCCCAAGGGAGCTCTGGAGATGCTTTTGACATCCAGGTTTCCACTTTGAGTGGACACCTGGGGTGGACACATTGGAGGGCTTGCAGGAAATCACGTGGATTGGCCAAACCTCCTCCTCTCCATCTTCGCTTGGAGGTTGGCGAAACCCCAAGTTGAAATTTCAACAGGCACGTCCGACGTGAGCTCATTGACAACCATCCCCCCAGCGACCTCAAAATCCTCAAACAAAAAAATGGCATTGTTGCATTCTTCCTTGCTTGTCAGCATGCAAGCTGTGTTGAGACCTATTCTTCCCAGAACTCCTGCACCCTCTTCCTCTCGTGCGTTGGCACCGCACACGCGCCCGAACGCGCGCGAACACGCACTCCCAGCCATCGCAGACTAAGAGGACGAAATCCGAGTCGTCGCACCTAAGTCGTCTCCACCGTGAGCCCGGAAGGAGCGAGTAACATCCAGGACGTGACTGGGGAGGAACCCGCTGGTGTGGGCGACCGCCGCATCCACTAGGAGAGATGTCGTTGTGTATCATGTGAACCTATGTACTGTGCATGTATATGTATATGTAAGTATTATATATATATATATACTAGCCCCGCCAAAACCCACTCGCGTTTAAATTATCTCGAATATATGTGCAATACAAATATGCCTGTATATTCTAAGTACGCACATATCACACACATATCATACACAATTATGCACGTTTAACAGAAAATGCTCAGTCAGACACTAAGCACGACATCTTCCCGGCCTTTTCTGCTTCAAACACAGCACGCCCGGGCGGCTCAACCGGTGCGACCGCGGGCGCTCGAAGTGGCCCAGCTCGGGCTCCACGGTCACGGGGCGGTTCTCGGGTCCAGGACCTCCGGTGGTCTTCTCATCCTCCAAACGGCGTGGATCGGCGGCCAGCAGAGGTTGAAGGACCTGAACTAGGACCCGTCACCTGCGGGACCCATAGGATTGCCTAGGGTTTTTCAACCTCTGTTGGGGTGGCCAAGGGACGAAAGGACCCGAAGGGTCGGTGTGGATGCGGACGGAGCGGAGATGACTCCGGCTCGAGCGGGTTGACCCCGCGCAGGGCGGACGCACGGGCTGGCGGTTGGTGTCTTTTTTTGGAGGTATTTTCTCGTTGGTGACGGTTTTGGTGGGGTTGGTTTGGATGGTTTGGACGGTTTGGATGGGTTGGTTTTCGAAACGTTTTCTGAATCTGTGGCTGGTCAAAACGACTCCAACACAGGCCGGGTGCCCAACACCGGCATGAGGCCAGACTTCACTTGACGAAGGCTTGGTCTCACAGACATCGCCCCGGCCCCAAAAGGGCAGGCATGAACCTATCGAACCAACAGTGTCCATTCGGTTAGACCCAAGTCCACTTAATTCAACATCTGCCCCTTCCATCCCAACCCATCCAAACCCCACCCCCATCGGTCATCCACACCACATCCCAAGCAAAAACAGAACAACCACTTGGTCAAGCCCCCGTCTCCCGCGTCTCCCGCGCCTCCCGCGTCTCCCCTCTTCCCGCTCCGAGCTCGGGGAAACCGGGGTCCTTGTCGCCAAAGCCGCGGCTCACCGCCAGGTTTCCGTTCACTCGCGCTACCCCGCCCTCGGTGATCTCCACCTTACCACCGCAGCGCTCGATGCGCTCGCGCTCCGGCGGGTGGTTCGGCTTGTGGTCCGTGGTCAGTCCTGGGCGCGAGGAGGACAGAAGGCACTGAGGGGAAAGGCTGGAAAAGCCTCAAACGGAACTCACCCTAAGAAAAGACTTCCGCTTCTGATGTGGAAAACTATTATAAGAAGGACTCAGAAGGACGCAAAGCTTGATTTAAAATTTCCAGCTTCACTTCCAACACTAGTCACCAGTCACGAAATGGATATCAAAGCCCGGTCCTTGGTCCGTGCCTTTGCCATCCACGATGCTGCCATCCCTTCGTCCCAGAAGCACCCGGCTGTCCCCCGCATTGATCACCAGCAACCGGTGCTTGCCTCCCGCTGTGCTGGGCGCTTCGACCACGCACATGGTGGCCGTCGAGCCGCTGGCCTGCTCGGAATCCAGGAACTCCTGGCAGCCCAAGGAGGCCCAGAGGGAGCCGCCACCCAGAGCTGGATCGCGCTCAATGCGCTGCGTGGAAGCAACGAGGTGCCCAAAACCCCGCCCTCCCTCAGAAAGAAACATGACCGGGCTCCCAGCAGCCGAAATGCTCCACGTAACCATGGTTCTTGCAGGGAGCGCGCGGAGCGAATGCACCCCATGCAGAAAGTCTGCACACAGAATGCACGTCCCATCCCGATCGCTCGGCCACGTCCTGGTCAATCTTGAAGAACCTCAGCTTCCCGAGAGAAGTCCACAAAAACGGTGCCAAGTTCTGTGGCCAGGAATGTCCAGAAAATTCCGAAGGGTCAATGGATTTTCTCAGGATGGCTGATGTTTCTTCCGTTTTTCGCTGCTCCTTCTCGGACCTCTGGTTTTGTCTCCTCGACGTCTCAGACCAAACATCCCGTCCGAGTCGACGTCCGAGTCCGACGGGGCCCGGGTCGAGGTCGAGGAACATCTTCTTGATCTCTTCGTCGCTTGGACGTCCAGTCTTCTCGATCTCTTCCTTCAACCTGCCAAGAGAGGTTAAGTGACCTGAACTAGGACCTTACTGGAGTACCTATTAGGCTATAGGGTCCTTCAACCTCTATTGGTGAAGCAGGGGTCGTCCTCTCCTCATGGAGCGCCCCGCACGGTCCCACGGCGGCGACACACGCACGTCGGGCCCCCCACGTCCGGAAGGTCCCGCCGGGGAAGCGAGGAAGGTCCAGCTCGACGATGGCTCGGTGCCGGCCGACGGTTTCAGTCCAGACGTCGGAGCCACCAAAGGAGGGTCTTTCCTGCACTCCTGGACTCCTTGCGGGGTAGTCCTGGACTCCTTGGGGGCAGTTTTGCCTTCTACCCTCCCTGGAACAAACCATGGATGTGGAGTTCACCTGCTTGTAGTGGACCACCTTCAGGGAGCTCCGTGAAACGGCTTCCTTCGACCCCGCCAGCTCCAGCGACCCCCCGCCTTTTCGCCGCGAACTCCGAGCAAGCGCCTTGGACGTTCAGAATTGAACAAGCACTTGTAAAAATGTGCCCACACACCTGTAAAATCCTGTAAACACTTGTAAAGGCATCCAACGCTTCACCTCTCTTCACCCACACCAATTCCCAGCCTCCAACCGCCCGACGCTCCCGCGTGGTTTGGGCCTCCGCCGTGGCCGTCGAAGACGCCGAAGACGCCGTAGCTGGGGCGCAGCAGGATCAAGTGAGCGTCCTCCATGCTGGTCCGCCAGCCGTTCCTAGGAGGGTGAGCATGGTGGTAGGTAGGGTGACCAGCCCCAGCGACGCAGATGATCGGCGGAAGATGGTCGATTGGAAGCAAGGAAAGCAGCGGCAAAGGGGAGCTGGTACTAAGTTATAATGCGCCAGCAATAAAGAACATAGGAAATCATGAGAAATCAAATTGGATCATGGGACATTCCTGCTATCTACCCGCCTATGTCCACTTCTGTGTTCCCTCGAGGGGGAGGGTTTCCATCTCGAGTGGATGTTGGCTTGGGGCTTTGCCGTCAAGCATCATTTCCGCCACAGCCACATCGAAACGCTCCTTAGTAAAGGGAGCGAATCAAATCACGCGAAAATTTCTAGGACTAGGAAGCTGAGAGCGAATCAACCAACCTTCCAACTTTCCCAGCGGACCAAGAGAAAGCCTTTCTCCCAAAAGGGGGGTCACAAGGAAGCTGAGAGCCCCAGATGTTGAGAACTCCTCACAGATGTTTGAATGTGCTGGCCCCTTTGACTCTCCTCCGTGCTACTCGCGAGGAATGGCCCCACCCGGGCCCGGCCCTCTCTCCAGGCCCTCTTCATATTAGGGCCTACCTGGGCTTTGTTCGGGCCCTACGCAAGTATGTCTTGGAGCTTTGGCTGAGAGAAGTCTTGGGGAGAAACAAGGGCCAGAAACAACACAAACCTCGATCTATATAAAAGAAAATCATGTCATCACCTAGTATAGCTACTAAAAACATCAAGCCCAAAAAAAGGCAAACAAACTCGGGCGTATTGAAATTCAATAATCTGGCGAAGAAGAAGAAAGAAAGAAAGAAAGAAAGAAAGAAAGAGAAGGAAGAAGAAGGAAGAAGAAGGAAGAAGAAGGAAGAAGAGAAGGAGGAAGAAGGAAGAAGAAGAAGAAAGAAGAAGAAGAAAGAAGAAGAAGAAAGAAGAAGAAGAA